GAGCCCATGGCAGGCCTGCACCCATCACCCGGTTGCTGCAGGTGTGAAATGAGGGAGAATACCTGTATTCCCAGTGGGCTGGGATGCCAGAGGGGTGGGCCCAAGATGGCATCCATTCGCACTCTCGGGTGGAGAGGGGCCAGGTGCAGGGGTTACATGCAGAGCCCGAGGGTGCACCAAACAGCTAGTGGCTGGATCTGAACCCCTGACCCTCCAATCATGAGTCACAGTGCTGAGCAACGAACAGATGACACAGATTGACGGTAGAGTTCATATTACCAGAGGAGAAACAGCTTACACTGTGAGATAATGAGAGTATAGGTCCTGCCCTGATGATTGGTTGTGCAAAGAAAGTACAAAAAATTCAGGTTTTATTTACAGAAGTGAACAATAGCGCGGTCTTCTACATGTTCATGTGTACATGTATACGGTGGGTTGACTTCATAAGGCTCATCTAATACTGCTCAAATAGTGCTTGCTTGTCCTCTGGGTGCTCCGCACCTTACCCAACCTGACATTTTAACCTGCACGCCTGTACTTGCACTTTCGGCGATTAGTTGGTCACACATACAGCATTACTCATTGTGGGGAGGGGAAAAAACAGGAAAAAAAACCAAAAAATTACAAATTCAGAGCTGATTTGGGGAGCAAATAAACATCTGAGTGTGAAATTTCTCGCGACATTTTGAAGGAATTTGGCTGCCTGCCTCCCTTCCAACTGTGGTCCAGTTGGGGGAGACGGCATGATGCTGACGAGAGGGTCGCTGACCTGGACACAATGACCACACGCGTGGTTGGCTCGCTGTCCAGTTGTGGAGCATACACCGGCCAGATTTGATTAATTTTTTTCAGAGGGGAGAGGGGGGGAGTCTGTGTCCAAACTGTTTAAACTTTCAACGATGCCACCTTGGGAGAAACCTCCCTTTGAAGTTTGGCCGAGGAATATTTCGGCTTTATTGCCACCCACTGACCCCTGACTGACCAACTGACCACACTGAGGTGCTGACCAAATCAATTGATACTGTCAGAAATTCAACGATAATGGGTAGATCTTTCCCTCTTGTGGGCAAAACCCTTTTGAAATAACCTCAGAGGTTGACTTGTTGCAAACTTTGGCAGTTAATAGCATGGGATGACCAACAACTCGGACTGCACCTGTGAGTGGAACCCAGGGGAGAGGGAAAGAGAGAGCAAAGAACAGATGCAGGGGAGGTACATGTATTCTTTCACACAACATCCCTTCGACCTGTGAACAAAAATCCAAAAATCATCCAGACTGTGAAGCACTCAGAGACAGGTTACCACAATTTCACTGTGACAAATTACTCTGGCTTTTGTCTTTTGTCTTTCCAGTCCTTCCGCTTTGGCAAAATGTTCCTGGGTGGTCATTTTACTCCTGGAGAGGCTTCAGTAGCAGACCACTGAGATGATCGTCAGGAGCAGGTCATCCCAAACAGTGAGAGCCAAGATCCCAAGGTCGGACCAAAATTGCTGTCGAAGAACCCCCAAACCAGCTCACGGCATGTATTGTTATGATAAACTATGTGCTTCGATTTACATGTATCCTCACAACTCCCCTCAACCGGTTCACTTAAATTGTGACCGGTATCAAAGTGGAGTAAGAAAGAAAAAAAGGTCGGCTTCCTTTGAAAGGAATACAGGTTTCAACTTTTTACAGGAAAAAGTTGTATTTATCTGACAGGAGGAACTGAAGATGTTATAAATTTTGTGTGTGTGTGTGGTTGGTGAAACAGTGTGTGACTGGGAGACATGATTTTGACATCTTGCGGGGTGTCAGAATCTTCAAAGATGACTCATGTTTGGATACATGATTACCAGGAAAGTCCCATCGTGAGGCAGATCAGGGAACAAATACTTAATGGGTTCCCCTTATGATGGGAACGGGATCACACCAATTCAATTCCTGATCAATCCTGACAGTCATTATTAAGGGAATTTCCACATCGGTGAGTTGGGGTCTTTGGACAGGTGCCTTCACTTTTTGAAAGAACTGTTTCAAGACTCTGTGATAGATGTTACAGAGGACTGTATCCACAAAGAAAAGAGGGCACTGATGTTGAAATTTGTGGGTGACCGTAATCTACAAGAAAAGTGTGCCTCCAGGGGTATTTTGCAGAAATTTTCTGCTAATGAAATTTCTCCCTAAGGCCTGGCTGATAGCTTGGAAAAATACTACTAGCCTACCTTTCTGTGTAATCTACCGATACAAGAAATTGATTGTAATTCCTTTTTTACTGTCTCAATTTATCAATATCATGTGCAGGGGGGCCCTTTTTTTTAACGGTGGCATGATATCCTGTGTAATGGGTTGTTTTGCCGAACACTCCCTATGCGTCCATTATGGCCAACAGGTGCACTCGGCCACACTGTGGGTTTTGGGCTACCGCAAAGTCAATTGGATTTGGGGAATCCAGAATCGTTTCTGAAGCGAAACAAATTGCTCAATTTAGAATCAAATAACATCTCATGTATCCCCCCTTTTAAACTTGTGTTCACGAGGCGGATTTATATTTGAACGGTGAAGAAAAATAGTTACAATTTTCTATTTTCTTTGTGAAGCAGAAAGGTTTCACAACTATGTCACAAACCACTCGGCATACGTGGTACGTTCCCTGTACAGGAGTTGCATGCGACGCTTTAGTCACATCCATCACGAGTCCCTGTACGACCATCACAAGTTACTCAGTCTTAAGCCAAGTCATAGGCTTTTCAAATGAACTGTGAGGAAAGCAGTCCTTGGTTAATGTTCAAACCGTTACTTGTGGGTCCGGTGAGAGGACTTGTGACTGGACTCGTGAAGGGTATTTGCCTTGGGACTTGACTGCAAAACTGCTCATACATTGCCATTTATTGTGCCATGGAAATCAAACAGGATGGCTGAGGGTAGTTGACAAATACCAGCATTTGGGGTGGCGTGGGGGTGGGGGGGAGTTGGGCAGGGGTAAGAGGTCTGGGTAGAGGTAGGGGTCAGGGGTATGGCAGAGGTAGAGAGGGATCGGGATGGGGGTATTTGTTCAAATGTTTGGAAGTCCAATTCCCGTTCTGGTAAAACAAACCACAAAAATTAGTTTGAATCCCACTAAGGTTCTTTTAGAGGCACGCAACTCAGTGCCTGTGCACTTGGGAAAGGAGTTTTGGGGGTACCCACTGCGTTTTGGAGGAGTTGGCTGTTGTAACCATTCCTACCTATGGCCCAGGCTGCCTCAGGGTAATGAATGTGGTTATGATTGATGGGTCTTGGCAAGATAAAAGCCTCCTTAATCTTGGGACTGCTGCCAAGCAGTCTTTCTTAACAAGTTCTTGTGGGGAACTGACCCATTATACATAACAAACCTTAATGAATGGGATCACTCTGTTCATCCAAATAACAAGAGTACCGAACGTTTCCAAGCAAATGCAGTTCATTTACTGAGCAGAGATGAAGCAAAGTAGAAAAAAAAAATCTCTGAAGCGTACTTTTCAAAGCTTGCAGACTTTTTGTTGAAAATAAAGTCCTACTTTAATACATTTATTTCTTATCATGGTCATTTCTCCATGCAACAATCCCATCTTTATAAGTTGGCTCATACAAGAACTTTTTATGTAACTTTAACTACAAGATCACTCTCTCGGATGCGAGAAAAATTCCCCAATTATCTGAAGATTATTTCAAAAAGGCCAAGAGCCAGGTCATCCAAAAATGTCTTTTCTTCCTGCCGGACATTCCTTCAACCCCTCCCCCAGTGTTCTCCATTCACCTGTTTCCCCGCCCCCTTCAAGTACCAGTACCTTTTGCATTACTCCTGGGCTGCGCTGTAATGCAAGGCATGCCCCAAGGCGCTTTATCAATTTCGCGTTGACAGAAGATCGGTCCAACTTTATGAAATTGGATAAATTAAGTCAGCGGTCTAAACACACAGGCCTGGGGGTGCCGACCCATTAGCAAATAAAAGAACCACAAAAGGCGTCCCCGAAATTGGATAATAAAAAATGCTCAGGTCAAAGTGCATACGTGTACACTGGAGGCATTTTAGCATTCAAGAGTGATTTTTTTTGAGGGGAGGGTTTTTATTCAAGGATTTCTGAGATTACTTTATTAAGCGGTGGCCTTTTATCTGCACGATTATAAAACGTGGTCTGGATTTGCTTGATCAAAACAGGTGTTGGAGCATTCGAAAACTAATGTGACACCCCTTTTAATCTACCAGTTAACCTTGTGTGAACGTCAGTAACTTTGCCACCAAAGAAAGCGCCACCTATTGTTCAATGATGTTCGCTTTGAACAGCAATGCCATGAGATGGTGTTGAGTTAGGACAGGCCCAGCTGAAATGCAAAGGTATCATGGGTTTGTGTGCATTCCGATGAAAATTGGTCATGCGAGACTGAATCAGGAATGTGCATGTGCACTTGTCCACTCTAGTGAGTAGCTACGTGCAGAACATTCTATTGTTCCCAAGCACAGTATTACAGCAAAAGGATCTACTGTTCAGAACTTGGTTGAACTTGTCGGGGCCACCAGACTGTTCAATCCTCAATGTACCCATGACAGCATCATTCTACGTTTTAATCCACACTGTTGGTGCTTTGAAAACTCATCATTTCCCAATAATTTCGCCACAAGCGGCATCTTTCCTGAACTAAACAAACCACACATGCTGCAAAGATGTCCACCTGAATAGGGTCAGGGAGAGTTCAACTGGAATTGATGCGATCATGGATAGACCTGACTTTGAACACGTTTGACAGACTAATCTCTACCGAATCCAGATGACAAAAAAGATGCCAAGAAATTCACCACAAAAGGTGTTCATCTGCATTACTTCCAGCCCATTCGTAACTTTCACCAGAAATGTGGGGGGTGCCGCGGGAAGTCATCGACAAAGCTGGCCGTCAAAAGTCCCAATTCAAATAGAGTGTGAGATTTGGGGCATTAAAAAAGAAGGAAAAAAAAGGGACCCAGCATTTTGTGACTCCAGACTGAGCAAACACGATTGTGCAAACAGTCGGAATGATATGGAATAAGTCAACACTACCCACAGTCCAATGACATCTGATATCAAGCACTGAATTTATTTACAGGTACTTAGACACTTCCCCTTAAAAAGGACATTTTCATGGTCGCACTTTGGTTCACACCTCTATTGTTGCCGTCATCCAAGCACTGGACCTCATCACTTGGATGCCAGACTAAATAATTCTGCTCATGAACTTGCTGAGAAGTCTGTTGCTTCGGTGGGCATTTTCTGGATAGGGTAATTTCAGGAGTTCTCATACAAAAAGGTAAGATTTTTCTCATTCTGTGTGACTCTTTTTTTGGTCTTGTACTGTTCTGAGCGTTCCTGTGGGCAAACGGGAATTTGTTTAAGTTGTCAAGAAAGTGTGAGACTGTGGGCAGTAAGCATGGCAAAAGGCAGAGTTAGTTTGAACAACGTAGTGGCAACACAGTGGAAATCTCTGAGCGCGTGCAACTGTTATAAACACACCGAGCACCACCAAGAAATAGCGCTCACAGTTGCCAACGTTTTCTGCTGTAGGGTCTGCTCTTTTGACGTCACAGTCACCTTTTTTTTTCTACAAGTGGCTGCTAAAACTATGGCTGGCTGTCGGAGCTAAAGTAAAAAAAACTAATTCACAAAATGTGAAAAATCCCACGCAGCTACATGTACATGTTTCAGAACACCAAATAACAACACAAATACAAACGCTAAACGGAAATAAAACACTGTTGACAAAATGATGGGACACAAATGTCCATTTTGAGCAAAGTTGAGATAAAATCGGAAACCAACAAAAAGGTGATATTTGGTGATACCTCTTGCCACCTACACAAGTTGCAGGCCAATAGAGAGTGGTCTATCCGCTCCGAGCGGAACAAAAGAGGGCGTGTTTGGTACTCACCGCAATTATATGTGTGTTTGACACGGAGCACGCTGAGTACACGTAACTAATTTATTCTGGCATGTGTGGTCTTTGTCTACATGCACAACGCTTACAAGAACCCGCCCCTAACCACCTGTCTTTCTTTCGCCGATTGGGGGTGCACTTCAGCTCGGGGCAGATATTTAAGCCTGACTGTTCTGCCACCTGTCCAGCAGAGCCATGAAAGTGGGCCCTGGTCAGTGCACTAGCACACAGCAGCTGGCTCCTGTTTGGGACACATCAGGATTGGTGTCAAAAATTTCCCCCCCCCCCCAAAAAAAGTGATCAAAACAAAATGAGAACCTTCAGAGCAGTGAGGCGAGTTTTGTTTCACCCAAGTTCAGGGCTTTGATGAGTAACACAGAAAAGAAAACACACAGCTGCTGTAGGCTGGTGATACCCAAAGGATAGGAGCATCCAGAAAAACATGTACCTGTCCATGTATGTACACTGTAGAAACTTATGCAGGTTCCCAACCAAGCCGATCTGGCTCGGAAGTTGAACTTCCATCTTGAATTTTTTTTTTTTTCAGATTCTTGGCTATTTAAAATTTGGGGGGTTCATAGATTAAGCCAGCAATCATGGGAGTTGTTGAGTTGTTGAGGGGAGTATAATCCACGGGCAACTGATACCTATAACATTCTTAAAATTCTGGGAACACTGACTGAAACCAGCACGGGGCCAGGCACAGATCTAGAAGGGTGTGTGCGTGCACCCTCAACCAAAACAAGGGATCGCTGAATCTGAAGTTTTCCCCAAGCCACAAAATTCCGGATCCTTTTTATGGATGGGTTAAGAGGGAGTCACTTGGGAGGAGGGATTATCAACACAACATGATGAATGGGACTCCTGACGGAGTAGTTGTACTTGGAACTATTCCCTTGGTACATTTCAGATGTTCTCATTTTCTCAAGGACTTCCTGGCCAAAATGCTGAAACAATACCGTAAGTAGAAAAGGATGACTTTTCGCTCCTATTCAGACGATACAAAACTAAAAGTCTCTTCAACTGCCAGGTGATTTATACATTCCTACAAAAGAGCCTGAAATTCGTCGAAGTCCTGAAATGCTGTAGATTAATGTGTACTTCACTGTAAGCTTCAGGATTCAAATAAAGTCAGGACTGTTCGTACATTGCAAATTTCAAAGGTTTTTTGGAGGGGAAAAGGTACGGTATTCAAACCACTTGTACATTGATGTGATTTGACACCATGGTGATTTTGAATCAGCTGAAATGGGTCACAGGCTTTTAAAATTTCTGAAGTCTTACAATGGAATCTGTCCACATGCCGCTGGACTGTACAGGCCAGCAAAATGATATGAATTTTGCTGTTCAAATAGAGTTTTCCTCAGTGAAAAGGAAACGAATGGTAGAGAAAGACACAGCCGACAAGTGGCGTCCTCATGTCAGCTCAATTAACATCACGGGTGGGATATGAAAGTTTGTTCAAATTCAGTCTGGTATCTGCACTCGTTTCCACTGAATTACAGACAAAGGCTGGCTTCCGGATATTGCCGGCAAACTGTTCTCCAACCGGTATCATCCTTTATCCCCCCTGAGCACCGCCCCTTTCAGTTAGCCACAAGCTGATGTAAGAATTTACCATACCTACAAAGGAAAACCCTTCAAATGCCCTGGAGATTGTTAACGGGCGCATAAAAACCCCAATTCCACGAATGCCAAGTTTGCTTTGCTGCATAGGACAAAGGGCCAAACTTTCCTCCCAATGTTCCCGTCCAATCAGGCAGAGATTTATTTTTAGAGAACACCCAAGGATGTTAGAAAAAAGAATACACTGCGTTTTCTCATTCTTCATTCCACCATCCCTTAGTTTACAAAGTTGGCTGGACAATTTCTTTGCTGACAAAGAACTACCAGCAGGCCTATCCCCGCTGGCAAAAAAAAAAAAAAAAAAAAAAAAAGAATATAAAAGAAAAAAATTCTTTGTAATCAGTAGTTACAGTGTTGATCTGTGTACCCGTACAAAAAAAAGGAGACACGTGCAGAGAAAGAAATTTCTCTTTAGGAATGTGGGGGTCTTTGATGCCTTTTAAAAAACCCGTCCAATTTTTTTAAAGTGCATCTGTGCCTTCAAGTATCAGGTGCTAAGTGTACTGCAGGGTCTGCGATGCATGAAAACAAGGGGGCCCTGATGGGTGAAACTTCTTCCCCCTCTGCTTAAAGGCTAAAATGTGGTGTTTTTCTCGTGTACCTGTCCTATTTTCATGCGGGCCAATGCAGAAAATCATATTCATGGGGGGGGGGTAGCCGAAGCAGGGAAGACATGACGGTAAAAAACCCTGCTTACCAAATGGTCAAAAGGGAATTTTTGGGGGGTCACAGTTCATTCACGTACTTGTTTGGCATGGCGACGGTCCTTTTAACTTCTGGAAAATTGTGATTATTAAGGTGCACAGCCGATCATGCTTTCGTCCCTGGCCCTGCAGTTACATATATCCTCGGTAGGTCCCTCAGGGCAAAACATAGAAATGTTTTCCCCATATTAGGTGCTGGGGTCTGAGAACCCCTATTGGTGGGTCAAATTACGACATGTGGACAAATGTCTAAGTGGGGGTGGTGGAACTCCCGTGAAAAAAACAATCTTTGAAAGGCGCTCGATCCTGTAGGCAAGGAATGCAGGAATGTTTGTCACATTCCCAGCCTCAGCGTTTGAGGATGACTGTTGATGTGTATCTCTTATTGTTTCGGGAGAAAGGAAAAATATTGTGAAGTGGGTTATTAGTGGGCTTCTAAAGCAGGCCTAGAATGCCACTGAAGTTCATTGGAGTCTCTGGATAAAAATCACCTGTGACTTGGCTTGAGAGAGTAGGAGTTACAGTGTCCCTGGAACAGAATAGTTTAATTTTGTTGACATTTTGTTCTTCATGTCAACACATCAAAACATTACAAAAGACATCCATGCTGCTAATCCTGACTAGCATTTATCAGCACACCTTCCTCTTAAAATTACCTTTTCTGTCCTAACCACTTGAAATACCAGGGTTTCAAGGTGGAAAAATGTGAGGCAGACAAGATCTGTTTTGCAACATGAACCCGCTCACATTATCACTTCACTGTGTAGACTTGAACCAAAAAAGACTCAGGATTCGTGACTTGAATTGGGCAAAGCTGACCTTTTGCACTGACATGTGACTTTGATTTGTGCAAAAAGAGACTTGTGGCTGGATCTGTGGCAAATCGACTTTGTTCCAACGCAGACAACAGCAAATTTTTACAGCATTAATTGCATCAGTGCACCCTGTCCGCATCAATCACGCTGGGTTTTGTCAGCTCTTATTATTTTGGACAAGTGGCCAAGGCCTGCGCTTTGTTGGTCAAGTCCGGCCCTGGCAGTTGCTTCAAGGAGGGGGGGGAGGGGACTAGTCACGTTGCATGGTTGCTGAGGGTTCCGGTGTGTCACATGGCCAACCGGTCCGCCGTCAATCTTACCCAGGACTTATTTCGTTTGTACTGGCCAAGGCTGTTGTTACACCTTCCAAGGCAGCTTGGGATTTTTTTTCAGTTAGTTTCTAATCTAAGCCTTGCCCTACGTTTATAAATCATTTATATTTGTAGTAAGCAGGAATATTTCTGCTACTGTTCATTTATCATTGAAGCTGGTGTGGGGTATGACTAGCCTGTAAACTTCAAATTTGTTGGAACTTTGGAACTTTGTGGACAATGCAGGATTTTTAATCCTCTTAGTCAACAGCCCCATGCGAGGAGTATGGGTGAAACTCAGGAACTGCTCACAAATGTAATTTCATGAAATCCTCATATATTTCTGGTGGTGTCGGAAAAGAGAAAAGAACAGAGAAAGTGGAAGAAAAGGTTATTACTCTTGTAACAAAATCAAACGATATTCATGGCTGCAGCAGCTTCAATTCTACCCACTCCTGGGGACTGATTTCCTCCTGAGGGAGGATGAGATGAAAAGGAAGCCAATTTAAGGAGGGCCGGGCAGCGAAACATGCATGAGCAAACCGATAATGCAGCGTCGCCGTTGGGGATTGTGGGCCACGCATGTGTACATGTATGTGCGTAGTACAAGGGCAAACTCTGTCTTGGACTGTGCGCGCTCCGATCATTCGGCAGGATCTTGGGACTTCCATGTCACTGGCTGCTCATTTCAACTTCAGGGTCTTAAGTCATAATTGCAATGTTTCTGGCATTGAACACAACTTGGTATCAACAAGACGGTGTCCCCCCCCTCCCCGGCATTTAATCCTCCCCAGGTCTTTTCTTGCTCAAGAGTCAATATCAGTAATTATGGGGTATTTTCAATAGTGGCTAAAACATGCTTATAGCCAGTTAACGTCGGACTTTTGACCCGAAAAAGCTGCTGGGGGCAGCTTTTTTTT